TACATAAACACACACGGCGCTGCTGGCAGCGGTGCCAGCCCCCCCCCGGAGCCCAGGAACGGGGGGTCCGCCTGGGAGACCCCCCCAGGTGCGCTCCACAGTGGCTGGGGTGGGTCGGGGTCGGGGTGTCCTCGTGCTGGGGGTCCTGGGGCTTGGGGACAGTGGGGGGGCACCCACAAGGTGCCAACTTTGGCTGGTGGGACGCAGAGCATGGCAGGGATGGGTGTGAGCCTGGTGGGCATGGGAGGGGTCGGTGAGATCCTGGTGGGCACAGCTGGGATGGGATCTGTGAGACCCTGGTGGGCACAGCTGGGATGGGATCTGTGAGACCCTGGTGGGCACAGCTGGATGGGATCTGTGTGATCCTGGTGGGTACAGCTGGGATGGGTGTGATCTTGGTGGGCATTGGTAGGATCTGTGTGACCCTGGTGGGCAGCAGAGCACGACTAGGATGGGTGTGATCCTGGTGGGCATTGGTGGGATCTGTGTGATTCTGGTGGGCACAGCCGGGATCTGTGTGACCCTGGCGGGCACAGGTGGGAACTGTGAACTGTGTGACCCTGGTGGGCATCAGTGGGATCTGTGTGACCCTGGTGGGCACAGCTGTGATGGGTGTGAGCCTGATGGGCATTTGTGGGATCTGTGTGACCCTGGTGGGCACAGCTGGATGGGATCTGTGTGACCCTGGTGGGCACAGCTGGATGGGGTCTGTGTGACCCTGGTGGGCACAGCTGGCATGGGTGTGATCCCAGTGGGCACGGCTTAGATTTGTGTGACCCTGCTGGGCTGCAGAGCAGGCACGAGAGGCCCCAGGCACTCCCTCTTCATCCCTGGTGAGGGTGGCACTGCCAGGACGCTGTCACAGCACCCCTGCGCTGCCCAGGGCCCTCTGCACCCCTCAGAGCACGCCCTGCTCTGCTCAGCCGGCTGCTGGGGGGTCTGCAGGGGGTGCAGGAGCTCTGTGTGCCCCCCAGGAGCTCTGTCTGTCCCCCAAGAGCTCTGTCTGTCCCCCAGGAGCACTGTCTGTCCCCCCAGGAGCTCTGTCTGTCCCCCCAGGAGTTCTGTCTGTCCCCCAGGAGCTCTCTGTGTCCCCCAGGAGCACTGTGTGTCCCCCAGGAGCACTGTCTGTCCCCCCAGGAGCTCTCTCTGTCCCCCAGGAGCACTGTCTGTCCCCCAGGAGTTCTGTTTGTCCCCCAAGAGCTCTGTCTGTCCCCCAAGAGCTCTGTCTGTCCCCCAGGAGCTCTCTCTGCTCCCCAGGCAGGGGCAGCAGGGATGGACCCGGCTCTGGAGCACACTCGAGGCCACATCCGTGACCATTGACCAAAGCCAAAGGGGTTTGGGGTCCTGGGGACTCCCATCCCCTTGGGCTGCCCACCTGCTCCGTGCTGGCCACGTCCCCAGCACCAGTTCAGGGACTCGTGGCCCATCCCGGTGTTTGTCCCGTTCCAGTCTGGCCCGGAGCGGGCGGCTGGAGCCTTTCCTTGGTGCCGGGGCGGCCTTGGCGAACAAAGGGCGCTTTCTTCAGCCGCACGGGGCAGAGCACACCTGCCCGCCTTGGCACCGCCGCCGGTGCCCCCGGGGCTGGGCGGCACCGCCGGCACCGCGCCGGCTCCCGGTTCCCGGGCGTCAGCAGCCCCAGCATCCATCCCTCCCTCCCTCCCTGCCTCCTCCTGCCCAGTCCTGCCGGAGCCGGCGGAGGCTGCACGCTCGTGGGGAGCAGAGCCGCTGCCACCTCCTTGTCAGCGCTCAGGATGCTCAGGGCTGCCTAGAGCCGGGGGAAGGTCCCGCTCGTGCTGCCGCTGCTCCCTGGGTACCCCGATCCCCGAATCCCAGCCCGCCGCGACCCCCAGCTCGTAGGAGCACAGCCAGGAGGAGCACGGAGCCTCCCAAGCCAATGGATCGAAAACTTCAGCTCCAGCACGAGGAGAAGAACATCCCCAGGGCCGCCCGGGCGGCTTTCTGCCTCCTCCAGATCCCGGAGCCGGACCCCTTCAGCCTGTGGGTTTAGGTGCTCCCGCCCGCCCGGTTTCGCCTCTCCCGGACCCGGTGGCACCGGCGGAGACCCCGCTCGTCCTCGGCGCTGGGGTCCCTGATGGACCCTCCAGGTAGCTGCGGGCCACTGGAGGTGCGCGCCCGCCGAGCAGCGGGAGCGGCTTCCTGGGCTGGCAAGAGGGACAGGGGACAGTGTCACCCTGCGGCAATGCCACCCCCGGGGTGACCGCGAGGATGGGGCAGCCTCGGGCCACTCGGGGCTGCGCTGGGAGAGCTCCCTGAGGTGCGGCTGGGTGGGACAGCCTGGCCCCGGAGGGATGGAGTGGCTGTCCCCAGGGTGTCCCTGTGTCCCAGGGTGGCTGTCCCAAGGGTGTCCCTGCACCCCAGGGTGTCCCTGTGTCCCAGGGTGGCTGTCCCAAAGGGTGTCCCTGCACCCCAGGGTGTCCCTGTGTCCCAGGGTGGCCGTCCCCAGGGTGTCCCTGCACCCCAGGGTGGCTGTCCCCAGGGTGTCCCTGTGCTTCAGGGTGTCCCTGCACCCCAGGGTGTCCCTGTGTCCCAGGGTGGCTGTCCCCAGGGTTGTCCCTGCACCCCAGGGTGGCTGTCCCCAGGGTTGTCCCTGCACCCCAGGGTGTCCCTGTGCCCCAGGGTGCCCCGGGATGCTTCCCGAGCACTGTGGGAATGGGGGCTTTGCCCTCTCTGCGGGGAGGATGTGACAGGAACAAGCGGCTCTGGGGACACACGGTGCTGTCCCCACCCCGCTCCTGTCCCCATGCCGGCCCTCGGGGCGGCTCTGTCCCACCCCGCAGCAGGGTCGGGAGCTGGCTGAGCTCGGCTCTGTCCCCCTCGGCCGCTCCGGGCACGGGGACACGGGGACACGGGGACGGGATGCGGGGTCCGGCTCGGCAGCCGCGCCTGCGTGTGGCCCGGGTCCCGGCGGAGCGTTAATCCTACAAATCCCCCCCGGCATTTCTCCCAGGAGGGGCCCCTGCGAGCGCGGAGCTCCCCCCTGGCTGGGAGCCCTCTTGGGAAGCGCACCCAGCCCTGGCCGGGGGCGAATACCTGCGCGGGGCACGGCCTCCCCACGCTGGGTGCCAGCGGCCGGGCGCGGGGCCAGCCTGGGTGCGGAGGGACTGGGGGTGGGCGCGAGGTGCCGCCAGCCCCGCCGGGATGGGCGCAGGAGGGACGCGATGCGACGGCGACACCCGGCCCGGACACGTGTCCGCCCTCACCGTGCGTCCCGAGGGGAGCCGGGATCCCCGCACCGTGCCGGGCTCTGCAATGGCTGGTGCCCAATGCCCGGTGCCCAATGCCCGGTGCCCAATGCCCGGTGCCCAATGCCTGGTACTCAATGCCCAATGCCCAATGCCTGGTGCCCAATGCCCGGTGCTCAATGCCTGGTGCTCAATTCCTGGTGCCCAATGCCTGGTGCCCAATGCCTGGTGCCCAATGCCCGGTGCCCAATGCCCGGTACTCAATGCCCGGTGCCCAATTCCCGGTGCCCAGTGCCTGGTGCTCAATTCCTGGTGCCCAATGCCCGGTGCCCAATGCCCGGTGCCCAATGCCTGGTGCCCAATTCCTGGTGCCCAATGCCCGGTGCCCAATGCCCGGTGCCCAATGCCTGGTGCTCAATTCCTGCTGCCCAATGCCTGGTGCCCAATTCCTGGTGATCAATGCCCGGTGCCCAATGCCCGGTGCCCAATGCCCAGTGCCCAATGCCCGGTGCCCAATGCCTGGTGCCCAATGCCCAGTGCCCAATGCCCGGTGCCCAATGCCTGGTGCTCAATTCCTGGTGCCCAATGCCCGGTGCCCAATGCCTGGTGCTCAATTCCTGGTACTCAATGCCCGATGCCCACTGCCCGGTGCCCAATGCCCGGTGCCCAATGCCTGGTGCTCAATTCCTGGTGCCCAATGCCCGGTGCCCAATGCCTGGTGCCCAGTGCCTGGTGCCCAATGCCTGGTGCTCAATTCCTGGTGCCCAATGCCCGGTGCCCAATGCCTGGTGCCCAATGCCCGGTGCCCAATGCCTGGTGCTCAATGCCTGGTGCCCAATTCCTGGTGCTCAGTGCCTGGTGCTCAATTCCTGCTGCCCAATGCCTGGTGCCCAATGCCTGGTGCTCAATTCCTGGTGCCCAATGCCCGGTGCCCAATGCCTGGTGCCCAATGCCCGGTGCTCAATGCCTGGTGCCCAATGCCCGGTGCCCGATACCTGGTGCCCAATGCCCAATGCCCAATGCCCGGTGCCCAATGCCCGGTGCTCAATTCCTGGTGCCCAATTCCTGGTGCCCAATGCCCGGTGCCCAATGCCCGGTGCTCCATGCCTGGTGCCCAATGCCCGGTGCCCAATGCCTGGTCCTCAATTCCTGGTGCCCAATTCCTGGTGCTCAATGCCCGGTGCCCAATGCCTGGTGCTCCATGCCTGGTGCTCAATTCCTGGTGCCCAATGCCCGGTGCCCAATGCCTGGTGCTCAATTCCTGGTGCCCAATGCCCGGTGCCCAATGCCTGGTGCTCAATTCCTGCTGCCCAATGCCTGGTGCTCAATGCCTGGTGGGCCAAGGACAGGACGCTGTTGTTCCCCCTGTGATTTCCCCTTGCAGCTTGTGATTAAACTGGTGCTGAGCTCTGTTTGCAGAGCCAATAGCCCTGGGCAGGACTTCTGGTCATGAAGCACCTACTGGAAATGGAGACAATCTCAGTGTTTGAGAGCATCTCTGCTTCTGGCATCTGTTACATAGAAAACAAAACTGATTTTCTCCATACTTTGCATAGATCTGGGGTAGATCCAAGCTGTGGCAGCCCTATGAAATGAGAGTGCTCCGTCCACCCGTGCCCCAAACACGGGAGGATGGAGCTGGGGGGTTGAAGGCAGAGCCCCAGCAACACCCCAAGCATCCCCGTGCCTCAGTTTCCCCGCAGCGCTGCCCGGGCAGGGGCGGGCGCTGTTCCCCGCTGATGTCGCTCTCCCTGCCCGCAGGGACGGCGCTGAGCACCACATGAGCGTGGGAGCAGCATGGCCAGCGACGCGAGGATGGGGGAGAGCCCGGCGCGGTGGAGAAGAGCCCCGGAGGCGGCGCAGGACTCCCGGGGCACGGAGAGCAGCGCGATGCTTTTATCCCGGAGCGCCGCTGCCGAGCTGGGACTCCCGAGCTACCCGGAGCCCGGCAAGCTGAGCTACCCCGTGGAGAAAGGATGTCCCTGTCCCTGGAGGGGCTCCGAGGGATGTTTGGGACCCGGCCGGGAGCTCGCCGGGGGCCGCCTGGGCTGCCCCTACCCCAGGGGCCCCAAGGACGGAGCGGAGCTGCCCCCGCTGCTGCCGCCCCGGAACGGGCAGCCCAAAGGGGGCTGGGGGGAGCCCTGCAAGGAGCCCCCGGGGCCGCGCTGGGCCGAGGCCGTGCTGGCCCCGCTGGCCCTTTACAGCCACGCGTACCAGCGCTACCCCCTGGCCGTGCCCGGCGCCGCCGGCAAACCCCGGGACGCGGCCGGAGAGCCCCCGGCCTCCTTCCAGCACTGCCCCTTCCTCCTGGAGGCCAAGCACAGCCCCTTCCTCCTGTCCTCGCTGCTGCCCAGCGCGCCCCCGGCCGAGCCCCCGTTCGGGGCCGCGGGGCCCGAGGGGCCGGGGCCGGTGCGGGACGGGCGCTTCGCCGGCCCCGAGTGGAGTTTGGGCTCCTACGGGCCCGCCTGGGGCCAGCCCCTCTACCTGGGGGTCCCGCCGAGGTGCAAGGCGGCTCTGCCCCCCTTCGACGGCTGCTCCAGCTCAGGGAACAAGGTAGGACCCCTCGGAGAGGCTGCGGAGCGAGGATGCTCGGCTGTGACAGCGGCTCCAGCCCCGCCTGCGCCCCGGGCAGGGCCTGGCAGCGCCCCCGAGGGTGGTGGGCAGGGGGCTCGCAGCCCCCCGAGGGTGACGCTGCGCTGTCCCCGCGGCTGCTGCCACCCCCGGGCTGAGTCACGGCGGCGGAGCCGCGGCACGGGGGCGGCGGGAGGCAGCGCTGCCAGCCCTGGGCGCGCCCCGTGCCGCTGCTGCGGCTCCCCATTCCTTTCCCACGCTGGCAGCGGGGCACACGGGCACCCCAGGAGCCGGCCCCGGGCACCGGGAAGCACCGGGCGGCTGCCCAGCCTGGCAGGGGTGTGGGGAAACTGAGGCACGGGAACGGAATGCTCCTCATCGCCCCCTCGCAGGGATGTGGGTGACAGAAGCGGGACGGGGACCCCCCCACATGTGGGGTGACACCGCCCCTCTGCTCCCTTCCAGGAGTTTTACGCCAAGAAAGGCCCCGGGTTCCTCCCCTCGAGCAAGAACCACGCGGCGCCGCAGCTGCTGGGCAGGAGCCAAGCAGGGCAGGAGCGAGCCGGGCAGGGGGAGCCGGCGGTGCCGGAGCTGCCGGGAGCCCCGTGGAGGGATGGCCGGGCGGGGGTGCCCGCTCCCCATCCCCGCACGCCTCCCCCCGGCTGCAGCCGCCCCCTGTTCCTCCTGCAGCCCGGCCCGGGGGGCTCCGGGGGGCCCTGGGTGGGCTCACGGCCCCACGGCGCCGATTTTTCCACGGACGCGGGGCCGGGACGACCCTCGGAGCCCAAAGATGAGCGCCTGGGCTACCGGAGCGCCCAGCCCCGCTCGCCCCCGCCATGCGGGGACCCCAATCCGTCCCCTCTGCTGGCGGACGGGCACTACCCAGCGGCTGTGGCCAAGCCGGAGCCCCCGCCGGGCTGTCTGTGCCCCAGCCCGGGCTGCGATGGCTGCTCGGGGGTGCCCAACCCCTTCGAGCCCCCCGTGGCCGTGGCCGGGGGGCGTTTTCCGTGCCCCCCCAGCAACCACACCAAGCTGAAGAAGACGTGGCTGACGCGGCACTCGGAGCAGTCGCTGCCTCGCTCCAAAGCTCCTCGGCGGGACGGGGGTCCCGAGCCCCCCGGGGAGGGCAAGCGCTCGGCCAAACGCCCCCACGGCACCGCCGAGGGTCCCCGCCCTGCTGGCGAGGGCGCCGGGGCGGCCAAAAGGGGCACCAAGGCCACGGAGAGCGCGGGGGACGCCGAGGAGAGGAGGATGGAGCTGGGAGGGGAAGGTGAGGATGCGCGGGATGCGCAGCGGGGCCGCGGAGAGGGCGGGGGCAGCGCCCGATCCCGAGGGAATTTTGCATCCCTGGCGCCCGGAACACGAGCTGGGAACACGTGGGGGCCGCGGAGCTGCTGCGCTGGGGCTTTTCCCGGCTCTGGCAGCGATTGCCGGGGTGGCCACGGACAGAAATGTCCCTCTGGGGCAGCGTGACACCCGCGGGTGGGATTCCCGGGCCTTGGGAGCGCTGCGGCTGGGGCAGGGACTCCTCGGGGAGGTGTTGGCATCCCAGGCCTGACCTGTGAGCAGCTCCAGCCCTAATTTCCAGCCCTACTTTCTGGCCCAGTTTCCAGCCCCCGCCACAGCGTGCCTGTCATAGGATCCCAGCATCCCGGAATGCTTTGGGTTGGAAGAAAACCCTAAAAGAGACCTAAAAACCCCATCCAGTCCCAACCCCTTGCCATGCCCAGGGACACCTTGCACCCTCCCAGGTTGCTCCAAGCCCCGTCCAAGCTGCCCTGGGGCACTTCCAGTCCCTCCCAGCTGGTGCGGACGGGGCCCCACGGTGTCCCCAAGCGCTGCCCGTGTCCCCAGAGCCGCCGAGCCGGTGGTGCCTGCAGAGCCTGCCCTGCACGGCGCTGCCCCCCAGCATCCCCCGCTGCTGTGCCTGCGCCCCCCGCGCCGGCCGCGACCCCGAGGCCGAGGAGGAGGAGGATGAGGAGGAGGAGGAGGAGCCCCCCGAGAGCAGCTGCAGGCTGCTGCACTTCCGCAGGTGAGCCCGGGGCGAGCCGCAGGGCCGGGGGGTCCCGCAGGACGTGGCAGGGGGCAGGAGAGCCGCCCCTTCTTTGGAATTGCCCTTTTGGTCAGCCCGCTTTGGAATGTCCCCTTCTGTCACCCCGGTGCAGAGGATTTCCTTCCTGTCACACAAATGCCAAGGGGCATCCCTTCCTGTCACCCAAGTCTCAGAGCGTCCCCTCCTGGAGGGGCATCCCCTCTGTCACCCCTATTTGGGACACTCTCTCTGTCACCCCACTTTGGGACACCCTTTCCTGTCACCCTGCTTTACAACAGCCTCTCCTGTCACCCCTATTTGGGACATCCCTTCCTGTCATGCCTCTTGGGGACACCCTCTCTTGTCACCCTGCTTTACAGCATCCTCTCCTGTCACCCCTGTTTGGGACATCCTCTCTGTCACCCCTCTTTGGGACACCCTTTCCTGTCACCCTGCTTTACAAAATCCTCTCCTGTCACCCCTGTTTGGGACAACCTCTCCTGTCACCCCTATGTGGGACATCCTCTTTGTCACCCTGCTATACAAAACCCTGTCCTGTCACCCCACTTTGGAGCATCCTCTCTGTCACCCCTCTTTGGGACACCCTTTCCTGTCACCCTGCTTCACAACAGCCTCTCCTGTCACTCCTCTTTGGGACACTCTGTCACCCCACTTTGGAGCATCCTCTCTGTCACCCTGTTTCACAACAGCCTCTCCTGTCATCCCTGTTTGGGACATCCTCTTTGTCACCCTGCTTTACAAAATCCTCTCCTGTCACCCCACTTTGGAGCATCCTCTCCTGTCACCCCTCTTTGGGACATCCCCTCTGTCACCCCTTTTTGGGACACCCTCTCTGTCACCCTGCTTTACCACAGCCTCTCCTGTCACCCCTCTTTGGGACATCCTCTTTGTCACCCCCCTTTAGAGAATCCCTTCCTCTCCCCCCACTTTCCAGCATCCTCTCCTTGTCCTGCCCTTTTTCAGCATCCTCTCCTTGTCCTGCCCTTTTCCAGCATCCTCTCCTTGTCCTGCCCTTTTCCCTCTCCCACCACCCCAAATTTCCCCCTCTGGTCTCCTCCCCGCATTTCGAGCCCCCCCAACTCTGTCCCCTCTCCCTGCAGGTTGGCCCTTGGGGACAGCGGCGAGCTGAGCGTCGATGGCCTCTGCAGCCTGGGGGAGGCCCAGGGGGACGTGGCCAACCCTGATCCGGGTCTCAGGAATTTGGGGAGCAGGAATGTGGGGAGCAGGAGCGTGGGGAGCGGCCTCTGCCTGGCCAAGTACCTGCTGGGGGTCCTGGGGGACCCTTTCTGTGCCGCCGTGCGCAGGGACAGGGACACGTGGCCAGGAGGGCCCGAGGGTGAGCGGGGAGCAGGGAGGGGGTGACACTGGGGACATGGGGACACGGGGAGCAGAGTGGGGGTGGCACTGGGGACACGGGGACAAAGGGAGGGGGTGGCACTGGGGACATGGGGACACGGGGAGCAGAGTGGGGATGGCACTAGGGACACGGGGAGCAGGGTGGGGGTGGCACTGGGGACATGGGGACACGGGGACACGGGGACACGGGGAGCAGGGAGGGGGTGGCACTGGGGACATGGGGAGCAGAGTGGGGGGGACACTGGGGACACGGGGAGCAGGGAGGGGGTGGCATTGGGGACACGGGGACACGGGGACAAAGGGAGGGGGTGGCACTGGGGACAAAAGGAGCAGGGTGGGGGTGGCACTGGGGACATGGGGACAGGGAGGGGGTGGCACTGGGGACACGGGGACAGGGAGGGGGTGGCACTGGGGACATGGGGAGCAGGGAGGGGGTGACACTGGGGACATGGGGAGCAGGGAGGGGGTGGCACTGGGGACATGGGGAGCAGGGAGGGGGTGGCACTGGGGACACGGGGAGCAGGGAGGGGGTGACACTGGGGACATGGGGACACGGGGAGCAGAGTGGGGGTGGCACTGGGGACATGGGGAGCAGGGTGGGGGTGGCACTGGGGACACGGGGACAAAGGGAGGGGGTGGCACTGGGGACACGGGGACAGGGTGGGGGTGACACTGGGGACACGGGGACAAAGGGAGGGGGTGACACTGAGAACACGGGGAGCAGGGAGGGGGTGGCACTGGGGACATGGGAAGCAGGGTGGAGGTGGCACTGGGGACACGGGGACACGGGGAGCAGGGAGGGGGTGGCACTGGGGACACGGGGAGCAAGGAGGAGGTGGCACTGGGGACATGGGGACAGGGAGGGGGTGGCACTGGGGACACGGGGACAGGGTGGGGGTGGCACTGGGGACATTGGGAGCAGGAGGGGGTGGCACTGGGGACACGGGGAGCAGGGAGGGGGTGGCACTGGGGACACGGGGAGCAGGGAGGGGGTGGCACTGGGGACACGGGGAGCAAGGAGGAGGTGGCACTGGGGACATGGGGACAGGGAGGGGGTGGCACTGGGGACACGGGGAGCAGGGAGGTGGTGGCACTGGGGACACGGGGAGCAGGGTGGGGGTGGCACTGGGGACACGGGGAGCAGGGTGGGGGTGGCACTGGGGACACAGGGAGCAGGGAGGAGGTGGCACTGGGGACACGGGGACAGGGAGGGGGTGGCACTGGGGACATGGGGACACGGGGAGGCTGAGGATGTGTTTCCCGCAGGGGTGACGGGCTGGAGGCGGGGGGAAGGAGCCCCCCAGCTCTGTGACTCCTGCCAGCGTGGCTTCTTCAACTCCCACTGGAGCTGCGCCAGATGTGGCTTCCAGCTGTGCCCCGAGTGCCACCGCAGCAGGCGGGAGGAGAGTGGCGCTGGTATGGGGATGGGGAGGGGTGGGAAAGGGGGGTGACAGCCCCATGGGGGCTCGCTGGGGACAAACAAAGCCTCTCTCTGTCACAGAGGGTCCGGCGCTGCCACCCCCGTGCACCCCCGGGCGGGGCCACCACGTGTCATCCCTGGTCCCCACACAGTTCGTCCCCACCTGTGGTGAGTGTGTCCCCCAAAAACCCCAAAAACCTCTGCTGGTCACTGCTGGGGGGTTGACACCCCTGTCCCCATCCTCCCCCAGTCCTGACCCGGCTCTGGAAGCTCCTGCACGAGGTCAGGGCCAAGTTTGGCATCGAGTCCCGCTGTCCCTGCGGGGAGGGGGCCGAGGAGCAGAGCCTGGAGGAGCCCCCGGGCAGGCAGGTACGGGGAGGGGGGGCTCTGGATGCTGGGATGCGGGATGCAGGGTGCAGGGTGCAGGGGTGCAGGGTGCAGGGGTGCAGGGTGCAGGGGTGCAGGGGTGCAGGGGTGCAGGGGTTCAGGGGTGCAGGGTGCAGGGGTGCAGGGATGCTGGGGTGCAGGGTGCAGGGGTGCAGGGCGCAGGGGTGCAGGGTGCTGGGTGCAGGGATGCAGGAGTGCTGGGGTGTAGGGGTGCTGGGGCGCAGGGGTGCAGGGGTGCGGGGGTGCAGGGCGCGGGATGCAGGGGTGCAGGGTGCTGGGGTTCAGGGGTGCAGGGTGCAGGGGTGCAGGGGTGCAGGGGTGCAGGGGTGCAGGGGTGCAGGGGTGCAGGGCGCAGGGGTGCAGGGGTGCAGGGGTGCAGGGGTGCAGGGTGCTGGGGTGCAGGGGTGCTGGGGTTCAGGGGTTCAGGGTGCAGGGGTCCAGGGGTGCCGGGGTGCAGGGCGCGGGATGCGGCTCCCAGCCGCTCCCCCACAGCCCCGCGCTGTTCCAGGAGCCGCCGGTGCCCACCCTGCCCCCCCGCAGCAGCCACGGCCCCGCAGAGCCCGCCCGGCCCATCAAGGAAGGTAGGGCCGGCTGCGACCCCCCCGCGCTCCGGGGGGGTCAGGGATGCCGCACCCCGTCCCCTTTGTGGGGTGCCGGCTATGGGGGGACGTGCGGAGGACGGCGTGGGACACCCTGACCGTGTTGTCCCCCGAGCAGAGAGCCCCGAGGAGGGGGCGCCGTCCCCGGGGCAGCCCCCGGTGCGGGGGGGGACCGTGCAGAGCGCGACCCTCTGCGACCTCCTGGCCTCCACCGCCGTCAAACTGTGCCTGGGGCAGGACGGGGTGCGCATGGCCTTCGCTCCCGTGGCACCGGCACTGCCCAGCGTGAGTCCCGCGGCCCCCGGGCCACCCCCGTGCCCCTCTGCCCACACCGTGTCCCTCTGCCCACCCTGTGGCCCTGATGCCCACCCCGCGCCCCTCTGCCCACCCTGTACCCCTCTGCCCACCCGTGCCCTACTCCCAAACCCGTACCCTACTGCCCACCCCTGCTCCACTGCCTACCCTGTGCCCTCCTGCTGAACCCGTACCCTACTGCCCACCCCGTGCCCCTCTGCCCACCCCGTGCCCCTCTGCCCACCCCGTGCCCTCCTGCCCACCCCGTGCCCCTCTGCCCACCCTGTGCCCCTCTGCCCACCCTGTGCCCCTCTGCCCACCCCGTGCCCCTCTGCCCACCCTGAGCCTCTCTGCCCACCCTGTGCCCCTCTGCCCGCCCCTGCCCTGCTCCTCACCCCTGCCCTCCTGCCCACCCCGCTCTGCTGGGGCTGGGGGGTTCCCCGTGCCCTTAGGGGCTCCCCAATCTTGTCCCCCCTGCCCTTTCCCCAGGACAATCGCCTGACCAGCATCCTGGACAGCATCATCGCCCGCGTGGTGGAGAGGAAGATCCAGGAGAGGCAGGCGGGGGTCGAGCTGAGCCCCCCCGGCTCCCCGGAGCCCCCCGTGTCCCCCTGCGTGCTGGCCCCCAGCGGGCTGCTCTGGCTGCACGACCCCGCCCACGGCAGCGCCTACGAACTGTTCCAGGAGCACTGGAGGCACGGCCAGGTCAGTGGGGACACCTGCAGCCCCCTGTCCCTCCGTGTGGATGGCACCCCGAGCCCCCCATCCCTGTAAGCTGGGTGACAACGGAGCCCCCCGTCCGTGAGTGTGGGTGGGTGACAGCACAGGGCGGCATCACCCCGGGAGCCCCACGTCCCCGAGTGTGGGGTGACACCCGGAGCCCCCCTGTCCTTGACTGTGGGGGGACACTCGGAGCCCTTGTCCCTGAGTGTGAGGGGACACCCGGAGCCCCCCATCCCTGCCTATGGGGTGACACCCGGAGCAGAGCCCCCTGTCCCTGAGTGTGGGGTGACACTCGGAGCCCTCATCCCTGAGTGTAAGGGGACACCCGGAGCCCCCCATCCCTGCTTGTGGGGTGACACCCGGAGCCCCCATCCCTGTGTATGGGGGGACACCCGGAGCCCCCCATCCCTGCCTGTGGGGTGACACCCGGAGCCCCCCATCCCTGTGTATGGGGGACACCTGGAACCCCCCGTCCTTGCCTGTGGGGTGACACCCAGAGCCCCCCTGTCCTTGCCTGTGGGATGACACCCGGAGCCCCCATCCCTGTGTATGGGGGGACACCCGGAGCCCCCATCCCTGCCTGTGAGGTGACACCCGGAGCCCTCCAGTTTCCCCACTGACCCCCAGCTCCCCCCGCAGCCCGTGCTGGTGTCAGGGCTGCAGAAGCGGCTGGAGCCGCGGCTGTGGGCGCCCGAATCCTTCCAGCCCTCGGGGCAGGAGGAGCAGGAGGAGGAGGTGGAGGCCGTGAACCTGCGGGCACCGCGGAGCCGAGTCCGGATGAGCAGCCGGAGGTTTTGGGATGGATTTGCCGCCAGCACAGGTTGGGGGACGAGGAGTCTGTGGGGTCCCCGGTGTGATTTTGGGGCGAGGTGTGAGGGGAGCCAGGCTCCATCCCTGATGTGGCACCGGGGTCCCTCCACAGCATCCCCCGGGCAGGAGCAGAGCAGCGGGGACCTGCTGAAGCTGGAGCGTGGCTTTGGGGACACGGAGCTGAGCCGGTGGGTGACAGCACAGGGTGGCATCACCCCGATGTCCCCTCCCCAGGCCAGCGGGGCTCAGTGGGGCTGGGGGGGTTCCTGAGTGTCACCGCGCCCCCCCTGTGTCACAGGGCCACCAACCTGCGGGCCAGCCTGCCCCTGCCCGAGTACTGCGGGGCCAGCGGCCGCCTCAACCTGGCCTCCGACCGGCGGGGCCAGCGGGGCCGGCGCTGGCTGCGCCCGCGACTCTGCGTGTCCTACGGTGAGAGCGGCACCGGGCTTGGGGGGGCACCAGGGCTTTGGGGGGTACCAGGGCTTTGGGGGGTTCCGGGCTTTGGGGGGTTCCGGGCTTTGGGGGGCACCGGGCTTTGGGGGGTACCAGGGCTTTGGGGGGCAGCCAGGCTTTGAGAGGCACTCGGGCTTTGGGGGTTCCGGGCCTTTGGGTGGTCCCCGGGCTCTGCAGGGCACTGGGGCTTTGGGGGACACCGGGATTTGGGTGGCACTGGGGTTTGGGGGGCTCTGGGGATTTGGAGGGCACCAGGGCTTTGTGGGGCAGCCAGGCTTTGGGGGTTCCCGGGCTTTAGGGGCTCCAGAGCTTTGGGAGGCACCGGGGCTTTGGGGGGAGGCTTTGAGGAGCTCTGGGGCTTTTTGGAGCATCGGGGCTTTGGGGGACACCCCGGCTTTGGGGGACACCGGAGCTTTGGGGGGCTCCAGGGCTTTGGGTGGTACCCGGGACTCTGGGGGGGGCAGCCGGGCTTTGGAGGTCACCGGGGTTTGGGGGGCATCGTGGCTTTGGGGTACACCAAGGCTTTGGGTGGTACCCGGGCTTTGGGGGGCAGCCGGGACTTTGTGAGGCTCCGGGGCTTTGGGGGGCACCGGGACTTTGGGGGTTCCGGGGCTTTGTGGGGCACCAGGGCTTTGAGGGGCTCCGGGGTTTTGAGGGGAACTCGGGCTTTGGGGGCCTCCTGGGCTTTGGGGGACGCCGGGGCTTTGGGGGGTTCCCAGTCTTTGGGGGATACCCGAGCTTTGTGGGGCACCCGGGTTTTGAGGGGCACCGGGGCTTTGGGGGGCTCTGCGGCTTTGCAGGTTCCGGGGCTTTGGGGGGCACTGGGGCTTTGGGGGTGCTCCAGGACTCTGGGGGCGACTCGGGCTTTGGGGGGCAGCCGTGCTTTGATGGTTCCTGGGCTTTGTGGGTTCCTGGACTTTGATGGTTCCCGGGCTTTGAGGGTTCCTGGGCTTTGTGGGGCAGCCGGGCTCACCCCGCCCGCTCCAATCCCAAATCCCTTCCAGCTGTGCCTGCTCAGGAGCAGAACTTTGGGACCAAACCCCTGACGGTGGAAGCGGCCGATTCCATCAGTGTCCTGGCACACGCAGCGCGGGCACCGCGGGGTAGGGGCAAAGTGCGGGACCCTCCATGCCCACCCTGACCCCTGGCACCCCCCTGAGGGTCCCACCCTGCCCCTGGCACCCCCCTGAGGGTCCCCCACGCCCACCCTGAGCCCCCTGTGCCCGCAGAGCCGCTCCTGCCCGCCGAGCTGGACGAGCTGGAGGCGCCGCTGCGGGAGCGGCTCGGGGCCGGCGCGGTGCCCGGTGCCCTGTGGCACATCTTCCGTGCCGAGGATGCCCCGCGGATCCGGGATTTCCTGCGCAAGGTGGGGGCCTGATGAGACCCAGATCTTTAGATTGGGCTTATCCCCGAGCCAGGCAGGACCACTGGGATAGCTCAGTCCCAAGCAAGCTTAGTGGATTTCAGCTCTTTAGTGATTCTCAGCTCTCTTAGGATTCCAGCTCTTTGCTTGCTTGCTAGGGCACCATAGGGCTGAGTAGAAGCAGATGAGAGAGAGGAGAAGGGGAGTCCTGGTGTTCCACAGCAATGGTTTTATTGTGGGGTCTGTGAAGGGTTCCAGCGATGGCTCTTCTTCTCCTGAATGGGCTAAACCAGCCCCTTTTTATAGGGTGAAGGGGGATCCAAACTTGTCCAATAGCAGGGGTTAGGGGGAAGTCACCTATGGGGTTACAGAGATAAGCTATGGGGCGAGACAGAAGACAGGAGCTTATTTTGCTGTCTCAGTGACTCAGCAGTTCCTACTGTTAAATCTCAATCCTCCATGGAGCTCTGGCCAGCTCCAGGTGCCACCACCCCCGGCCCCCTCCAGCGCCCCGGCCCCGCTCACCCCTGGCACCAGAGCCGGGGCAGGACGGGGCTAAGGTGTCTGCTAATACCAGAGGGTCTCGATGCCAAACTCTGGCCCCATCGACATGAAAAGCTACTCCCCATACCCAACTAAAGCATTTGCTGGTCCCAGTACAGGCGATAGAAAAGACACCCAAAGATGAAATAATAATGAACAAACGAAGCTAGAAACAGCAAAGATCAACTCTTGTACCTTTTGCATCACGATCTAGCAAGAAAAACCAAAATGAATTTAAGTTTGCTGTCCCTAAACCCAAGTGAGCTACTTAGGAGCTGCTATTATTGAGCAAACCCAGCCCCGCTCACCCCTGGCACCAGGAGCCAGGGCAGGACGGGGCTAAGGTGTCTGCTAATACCAGATGGTCTCGGTGCCAAACTCTAGTCCAGTCAACATAGCTACTATATAATAAAACAATAATAACAATAATAACAATAATAATAACAAAGCTACTCCCCACACCCAACTAAAGCATTTTCTAGTCCCAGTATAGGCGATAGAAAAGGCACCATTGGCGCAATAGAGACTGCTTGCCATAAGGGAAAGATGAAATAATAATGAACAAACGAAGCTAGAAACAGCAAAGATCAACCCTTGTACCTTTTGCATCATGATCTAGCAAGAAAAACCAAAATGAATTTAAGTTTGCCCATCCTGAAACCCAAGTGAGCTACTTAGGAGCAGCTGTTACTGAGCAAACCCATCCCCATTCACCCCTGGCACCAGGAGCCAGGGCAGGATGGGGCTAAGGTGTCTGCTAATACCAGATGGTGTCGATGCCAAACTCTAGCACAATCAACCTGGAATAACAAAGCTACTCCCCACACCCAACTAAAGCATTTACTGGTCCCAGTACAGGCGATAGAAAAGACACCAAAAGATGAAATAATAATGAACAAACTAAGCTAGAAACAGCAAAGATCAACCCTTGTACCTTTTGCATCATGATCTAGCAAGAAAAACCAAAAAGAATTTGTTTGCCATCCCGAAACCCAAGTGAGCTACTTAGGAGCTGCTATTTAGGGGCAAACCCGGCCCTGCTCACCCCTGGCACCCCAC